CGATTCCACCGCATGCCTTATTTACTAAAAATACAATCGTTTCAAAACCTGCGACATATATATTTGCCTTTGGAGCAGCATAAATCTGAAATTCATCAAATGAAAACAATATGATTCTTTTCTTGATTTTGAAACATGGTGTACAAAATATTTCAAGCAAATATTTCACATTCAAATATTCATTTAGTTGATTAAAAGAAGCTACGAAATATTGTGCATCTCACAGATTAGTTTACTATTTCATCGAAAATGTTTTTCCAAATGAATGACTTCATATTGAAACATCTTCTTTTTTTCTAGGTGAGTACAAGAATATCGTATTACAGTAACTCGGTAAGTAGATTTTTTCAGTAAAAATATTCATTGAACCTTGACTGGGTACTTAATCGATATTTCCACATGATTTCCTTCATGGAAATCATGAACGTTTGCTTCAGATGATTCGTGAACGGTTCCAGTGCAGTGATGAAGTCTTACAAGAAAGGGGGCAGGAAAAATCTGCCAAATAACTATAGACAAGTCTCTTTGCTATCAGTGATATCAAAAATCATGATTATACACATCATTATTGCTATCAATATACAAACCTGTCAATGTGTTCGTTTTCTGGAAATATCATCCTGCATCCCTATTAGGGGGGCTATACGGGACAACATGAAACATGGTCAAGAACCATATGACATCGAGGTATACTTTTTACACAAATTGAACCCTAACGAACATTTTACTCTATAACGATTCTCCAATTTTGAATCTAAATAAACGAATATAACACATGTTTCAGTCAGTGTAACTCTAAAACTTATTTACACTATCTATCATATCACCGGATATGAGTATAGAAAAAAAAGTAATTGAATTTTCGATTTCACTGCCTATTTGATTTTTTTACAGTCATCTAGAGGTCAAATACCGAATCCTTATGTAATTATTCGCCTTACCCATAACTATGGATGTTTCGTCAGATGCATTCACTAAATTTTATTTGGCATTCTTTTATAATGTTGCCATTTTTATATTATTTGCGGTCGTAAAATATTGGTGTGGCTTCCTTTGTAATGTTTTTGAAATAGATTTGTTGCGAAAGAACCAACTATGGGTTTTGCAGCTGAAAAATTAACTATATTATTTTTTTATACAACGTATAGCAATTCCTTTTTGGCGATTTTTCCATTTCGAACCGACGATTCTCAACTATACACATATTTCACAACAGTTTCCGCAATTTTGATTTTAAAACATATTTTTTTCGTTTAATTTATGTATAAGTGATGAACGGAACATTTTTCTACAGATTGAGAATTTTTTTTGTCTTCCGTCTGGTCTTCTCAACTTTTTTTGACAAAGAAATGTGTCATAATTAGGTTTTCATTTCATTTATTCCGTAAATTGGTATCAATGTAAGAGACACCGCTTTATTCAACATTATATAACCTGCATAATGTTCTCCATGACAGAAAATACAAATCATATGTTGGGTGTTACTACTGTTTTAAGTCATCCCCTGGAAAAAATAAAGCCAGCCGCCGCTGGTTTTCTTCAATAGATTGTGACTTGACCAAGGTCGCGATCAACTAGAATTGCGCTTCGCGATCGTTCTAGATGTTTCGAAAGCTGCGAGAGAATTCCAAAGACTTTCATATCGGCTTCGGGAAACTTCCATTACCTTATATAAATGCATCCAACACGCAGATCGAGGAAGTTTAGTTGAAAGTGCGGTACTAAGTGATCTAATGAGGTGATGAACATTTAAGTATTTGTCTGAACCTAATCTAAGCCCTCGAGTTATAGTGTTTGTGCGGGCAGTGTAGCAGTGGGATAATAATGATAATGTAGGCATTACAATTTCTTTGGACCAGGAAAACATTTTTATGGCTCAGTTTCACTTTCATTTTCTGGCGTAATCAGCTTTCTAAGTGACGGGGTGATTTGCAAACCGTTCAGTGAAAATAATCAAGAAAAACAACTAGCAAATTCCAATTCTCATATCAAGACAATTCAGAAAATTGAAAATGAGCGAAGTGTAGATGTCCATAATATTCGTCTGAGAAAAGAACAGAATGGATGATATTTGTTGACGTCTTTCAAATTTTATTAATTCCTACACACTGTCGGTATGAAAATAATAGAAAATCATTCACGTTATCACGACTTGAATGAATTATTGAACAATGAATTTTGAGGAGGTTTATACATTCACGATAAGATGCACATCTCAATGTGAACGTTTATAACGTAACCTGTTCTATCGATCTAAAATATTTTCAGCATTGCGGCGTTGCCACTTCCATCAAAAAGTCCTAGCAACTTTATTTTTTTAAATGGAGTTATAATCATATGTTGAGTGTTACTACTGTTGTAAATCATCCCCTGAAAAAAATAACGCCAGCCGCCGCTGGTTTTCGTCAATCGATTGTGACTTGGCCAAGGTCGCGATCAACTAGAATTGCGCTTCGCGATCATTCTAGATGTTTCGAAAGCTGCGAGAGAATTCCAAAGACTTTCATATCGGCTTCGGGAAACTTCCATTACCTTATATAAATGCTTCCAACACGCAGATCGAGGAAGTTTAGTTGAAAGTGCTGTACTAAGTGATCTAATGAGATGATAAACATTTGAGTATTACTCTGAACCTAATGTAAGTCCTCGAGTTAAAGTGTTTGCGCGGGCAGTGTAGCAGTGGGATAATAATGATAATGTAGACATTACAGGATAGGATATTCATCTGAGAAGAGAACAGAATAGATGATATTTGTTGACGTCCTTCAAATTATATTGAATTCTTACACACTGCCGTATGAAAATAATATAAAATCTTTCACGTTATCACGACTTGAATGAATTATTGAACAATTAATTTTGAGGAGGTTTATACATTCACGAGAAGATGCACATCTCAATGTGAACGTTTATAACGTGTCGAGGTGTTTTGAACGTGATAATATTCTATTGAATTGGTAGTTTCACTTTCCACGAGAAGATCCAAAGTTTCGACAGTTTTGACCATAAATACACATTCACAGAGATATGAACATATAATTATTGTTCGATCAAGGAGTTAAAGCGTATAAATACATATTTACTTTGAACGACCAATCGATTTGTTGATTATAATTTACATTCTTGGTTTCTCTTTACAGACAATTCCACTTTCTGCTTCGAAAATGTTGTTAGGGGGGGGTTAAAATGGATACCAATGTATCTTGGCACAATAATGTCGCTGAAATTGCAAAGGATGCTTCTGAAAGCTTGGAATATTGTTCCGAACCAAACAACTGCCAATCCTCAGCAACTTTTAATGCTTTATGAAGCTTTGGAGTATTGTTCTCATGTATGGAGCTGTGCCCCTAACAATACCCTGAAGCTGTTGAATACCAAGAGCGGTACATATCAGAAATACGCGATGGATTGTGGCTGCTCGTCGTTTTGAGGTTCAACTAATTACACCTCGAACTTCACTGTTGAAGGACTGTTTCATTTAGAGAACTGCGTGTATGTGGAATAAACTTCCTGAGAAGGTTTTTATAATTGAATTTAGTCACCAGCGATTCAAATCCAATGTGTAAGGTTTTTCCTGTAGTGCTTGTGTTATAATCCGTTAAGTAGCGGTTCGAAAGTTATGCAAGTTTGGAAAAATATATTATTTTCAAACTTGAACCCATAAAAATTGAAAAAGAAAATTTCAGGCTGAAATAAATTTCTTACCTTTCGGGAAAGTTTAACACCTTGTATCTAGGCAATAGTGCATTTTTCATAAAATTACCTCTGAGTTTGTTCAATATAAATATTTTCCAATGTCTTCATTCGTTTAATACCACAGAAATAACCTACTATTCTCAAGATTTTCACTCCGCTTCCTCGAACCGTTTAGTGAAATTAATCGGCTTGTTTCATGATTCTTGGTTTATAGTTCACTTGATAGACATTTCAAATTGAAAAACAGTGCACTTCGTTTTATCTCTCTTAGTACCGTAGTTTTCCCGTAATTAATTATTAAAAATCGAATGTGGTAGGGTAGTGACGTCACGCCCCTATTCCCGCTTCTTGTTCGATTGACCAATAGGAACCACAGAAATAATCAACATTGCCAAATCGTGAAATTTACGAAACATATAATTATCAATTTGAATATGGAAGTGTATATGAACCCGTTAACGTTTCAATTAATGAAAAATTCTCCTCATGGAATAAAATGTACACGAAAAATCATGTTTGCAAATAAGTTCTATATCTAAAATCAGTACACAAAGTCGATAGATCACAAAATATTCACCTAAACTATGATTTTATACATTATTTAATAATATACAGTTATGAAAAAAAATATATAGCAAACTGGATTAAAGAATCATTTTAGATATTCAATTTATTCTTTAATTCTCAATCTGTACAACTGCAATTTATTATAAAAAAACGATTCCTACGTACATAACTTTTTAATATAGCTACTAAATCCAAGCGTTATAGTCTCGCTCGGACAATCTGTTGAATCTTCCAAAACTTGAGAGGAAGGTTGAATGAGGTCAAGTATAGACAGAATTGATTTTACTCGAGCTGATCCAACAAAAGCTTCTGAATAACGATGAGATTGGATCCTTTGGTGTGAAATTTGAATAACTTTTTTCGAGATCAATTGCCTTAACACCAAACTGCTATTTTTTCACTCGACGCGCGTTTCAAGAACAAAGTTAGCATCCTCAGGAGAAGGATGAGGATGCTAACTTTGTTGGCGAATTGCGCGTTGAGTGCAAAAATAGCAGTTTGGTGTTAGGGCAATTGATCTCGAAAAAAGTTATTCAAAAGCTTCTGGGAACCGCATATGCTGGACATGCTGATAGCAAGTGCATTAGGGTCTCGGGCGCCTCGCGGCAGGCCCTGCACCTTGTGTCAGGATACAATAGCATTTTTGCTTCTCTCGTAATCATACATTCACAATTCTCACGTGTTTGAAGCAAAGAAGCTATAACCGCGCCGTCTCGCACATTATCGAGTGACTTAAGTTAGTTCATAAGTTAACGTCGTAAGGACAACACGACCGCAGATTGTTTTTTAGAAGTTCGTTCGTTTCGCGTTACTTAATAGTTGAGTGCAAGGTGTGACGGTGCATCGCCTACCTAGACCTAGGTGATTGGCGGTTTCGGGAAATTTTTTAATCGCTACGAATTAGTCCGAAAGGATTTTGTGGTTGGAGATGTGTTGACTTTTATAGGTACTGCGGATGGTTTCATTGTGGTTTTACGTCGTGTTTGGTGGTTGGGTGGAAGATCGCTTCTGAAACAGAACACATGAAGTGTGTCATTTAACTTCTTTCCAGGAAATAATTTGAAATATGTGCATTTTTTTCAAAAAGGACAATGTCAAGGACTATTTTTAACTCTCGCGTATTATAGCCCTAAGGGGATTAGGATATTACGCTCTGTATACTATTAGGAAGGTGACCAAGTGGTGCATCAATTCGAAGGTCTTTGAATTTCCTTTTCAGTGATACCATAACTTTCTTCAAATATAATTTATTAGGGATTCAGTTACTTTTGTTGGGTTTGAAGAAGGTGGACTTATCTCTGAAGAAGCCTAGCCATATATCAATTTTTTCAACTACAGAAGTAGATTATAAGAACTTACTTACGCTAAAAACTATTTGATTGGCTCATGTCTCAGAAGAAATCAGAATCACAGTTTCAGGAAAGTTTCATAATATTCTAAAACAGAAAATATCAAAAAAATTCATGTAGAAGTTGTATTAAAATTTTTTTTTCATGTTCTAAACGTCAAACACTCTTCGAGAAAAGTTGCAGATCTGCAGTTTGAAATTTGTATTTTTCATCAGAGAACTCAAGACGTTAGCCTTTAAATTGAAATACATTCTGTGTCATATGACAAGTAACTTTTTGATATCGAAGGAATCGAAAAATCTTGTGTCATGTGCCGATCTCAACATTTTCAGACTCTCTTTGGTCGTTCTTAAAGGTGTTGAGCGAAGTCGGATATGTGTTGTATGTTCTTTGACACGAGTTTCAATAGCTCGTTCAGTCTGACTAATATATTTCTTGTCACAGACTTCGCTGTCTATTTCATACTTATATCCCCGACTTTTTCACCACCTTGTCTTTAGGGTTGCGTAGCATTTATTGAAGTGAGTAAGCTGTTCCAAAGGCTACTTTTACGTTCTCTATTTCATAAAAATGAATTTGTTTGAGTATCTTGGTTCAAAAAAAATCTGTTTTTCCGTTAATCAGCTGCCGCCCCCATACGAACGACAACTCTCAGAAGTTGAGAAACTTATGCGAGCTAAGGACTAATGAGGTCTTACCTTTTAACGTGTGATTCCTAACACGGTTCCTACTGAACAATGAACTTGAATGAGTGTCTTTTTGAAATGGTCGAAGATTTACGAAGATTCTCATTGAATTTATGTTTCCTCATCAAGTTAGCTAGTGTATATGAAGCCTATTGTTTTCAGCTATGTCTACGGACAATAAAGTCCTGCAATGTTCTGTTGTTAAGAGTCTGTTGTCAAAGGTCGGTTGTTAAGAGTCCAAACGTCAAAGAATGTTGTTTTCAATTTCATATTTAAACCATTTTCAGGATCTGTTGTTAAGAGTCTGTTGTTGTGAATCAAAACACCAAAAAATAGAAACCCTATATTGTTTTTGATTTAAAATGTAAATTAAATTTTTGAGGAACTCTTGTTGAGAGTCTATTGATAAGAGTCAAACACCAAAGAATATTCTTAAAGGTATGTTGTTGAAAGTTGAAACATCAAATAATATTAACTCCTTGTTGTTGAGAGTTGAAATACCAAAGAATGGCAACCCTATGTTGTTTTTTATTTAAATTACAAATTTAATTTTCGGGGATCTATTGTTGAGGGTCTGTTGCTAAGAGTCGAAACACCAAAGAATGTTCTTAAAGGTCTGTTGTTGAAAGCTGAAACATCAAATAATATTAACTCATTGTTGTTTGCAATTTCATATTCATGCTTGATTTTCGGGATCTGTTGTTAAGAGTCTATTGTTGAGAGTTGAAACACCATAGAATGGTAACCCTATGTTGTTTTTGATTTGAAATGTAAATTTAATTTTCGAGGATATATTTTTAAGATTCGAAACACCAAAGAATGGTATCTCTATGTTCGGAAATATGTTCTTGAAGGTATGTTGTTGGAAGTAGAAATCGAAGATATTTGTTGTTGTTGTTGTTTGCAATGTCGTATTCATGCTCAATTGTCGGGATCTGTTGTTAAGAATCTGTTGTTGAAATTGGGAACACCAAAGAATGGTAACCCTACGTTGTTTTTGATCTGAAATGTGAGTTTAATGCTCGGAAATCTGTTGTTAAAAGTCTTGTTGAGGGTCGAATCATCTAAGAATGGTAACCTTATGTTGTTTTCGATTGCATATGTATGCCTAATTTTCGAAAATCTGTTGTTGAGAGTCGAAACAAACATATATGAATATTAATAAATAGTTTACTTGGGCAAAGGCTGTGGCTGAACATAACGTACTCATTCAAAACCCTAAAATGTTTTTTGTTCCAATTTCCTGATTTATAATACCATGAGTTGATATTACTACTCGGCAAGAGTGGAAATATAATGTAGATAGAATTTTTTGAGCCTACCATGTTGACCAACGATTTTGAATATCTAATCAAATTGTTCCGTCAGAACCAACGTAATCCTTACGAGCTCAAACAAATCATTCCAAATGATTTATTTGATATTCTAATCTGTTCAACTGTTGGCCGAATAAGGAGTAGTATAAAATATTTTCATTAGGTGTTACGTGACGGAAAACGACAAACTAAGTCATAAATTAAACATAATTTGGAAGTAATCGGTTACATAATGTTTCGAAAATATCGATCGTGGGAGTTGATGCAACATGTTTACTCTTTCACCTGCCATATTTTATTTGTCGTTACCACTGTTTGAGAGTAAAATTGAAATATAGCTAAACATTTTTCTGATCTATCCAATGCTCCGATTATTTTTTGTACAAAATCTAATACTGCTTTTTCGGAATTGGAGTTGCTAATGAAACCGAACTATCTATATGTGTGTATTTTTTTGCATTGAGGTAATTTACAAGTCTACTTTTTAAGGATTGTTCTAATATTTCAGCAAAATTATTGATAAACGATATTGGTCTATAGTTTCCAATGTCATCACGGTTACCTGTTTTATATATGGGGGTAACGATTGACTCTTTGAATTGTTGTGTGGTAGTTTACCATAATGAATTAATGAATATTCTTTATGAGTTTCGAGGAAATGCCATCAGGACCAGATGAACAGTTGGTTTTTAGCTTGAATATAATTTCAATCAGCTCATTTTGTGTTACTGGTTTCAGAAACATGGATCTTGTTGCATGGTGTCTTTGAGGAAATGATCTGGCTTGAACGTTTGAAATTCATTTGCTTTAGATTTAATCAAGTAGTTGGCAAGAATATTATATCCACGTAAACATTACATACGGCACAGTTTTCGCAGAATTTCAGCACGCTGTTAGTAAAGTCTCTAAAACAATACGGCGGTTGGAAATCAACTAATATCTCATGATCAAATCATGAGAAATATAGATCCTGAACAAAAATAACTAGTTAGTTAAAAGTTAGTTTAAAAGGTATATTTAAACTCTTTGAAATTTTGAAACAACATTAGCATATCACTATGTGATATTTTATAACCTGAAAACGCAAAAAATGAGACATTTCCCTAAAGAAAAATCGAATTTGAAACCAATCATCGAAGAAACATGCTTTCTTATAATGGCCGATTGATTATGAATATATGCAAAATATAGCAAATAATCATTTTGGAAATTGTAATCCTGCTGATCTTTGTTTCAACCTTCCTTGTCAACCAGTTCGACTGAGGAAGCTACTGTGTAACGAAACACGTCTTCAGTGAAATTAATAACGGAAAATTGTTTTTTATGATGAATAGTCATATTTATTCGTAAGATTATTGAAAATGTATAACAAATATAAAAAACAATTCTGATCGCATATAAGACCACATATATCAGGTATTTTATCATAACAGTCGCAGTGGGCCAAGTCCGACGTTCGCTGCAAGATGAACCCCAAACCAACATCAACTCTCTGATCTAAAAAAGAATCATAGATAGAGAAAACTGATTCTATATTTAGATTATAAGCGTCCAAATTTAACCAAAATGAATTCTACACTGAGTGGTACATTTTTTTCGTGCATATATTAAGAGACTCTGATAATAAATTACTTTTATAACTTCCATTTATTATGAGTAATGTATCATTCATTTTATTCAATTTCACCCATCCTGCTGTCTGTAATCAAATCTTAAAACTATAGTTTGATCAACTTTCCAGTTTTTCAAAACACATATATTTACTCCACGTGATAATGCTGCCATTTTTATCCAAAATGGCAGTATACGCATTTTATCATTTCTACAGCATCCTCTAGAATAAAGTTATCAGATGAACGGGCTAGTTTATTATACATTCTCTTGATATCATGGGTATCAAATAAAAGTGTTCGCTGAAAAAAAATATGAAAAAATAAGACGATGTCACTGTAAATCCAATATGGAAAACTCCAAAAGATGAAGAACTATGTTTATTACGCACCCCAAAATGTATATATCAAATGCCAGATGCCCGCCAAACTGAGTTTAACGATTTATAACTTGATAGCAGTTGATTTAAGCTGATTTCGGAACCTCACCCCACTACCTTCAACCTTGAAACAACCTTGAGCTACGTCTCATGACGTAGCCAAGGTGACTTTTAGGAAGATTTTTGAGTTTGGCCTTGAACTACCTTGACCTACGTCACACGGCGCAGACAGAGTAGTGTTTTGGGTTTGACCTTGGCCAACCTTGATTGGCGCCTCATATTTTCGACAGGATCACTGTGACCTCGAAAGAACCCAGTCATGCGGCTATCTGAAAGTTTCAAATATACGCCTCACGACGTAGCCAAAGTGACTTTGGGGGAGTGTTACGAGTTTGACCTTGAACTACCTTGTTTGACCTTGAACTATCTTGACCAACGTCACACGGCGCAAACAGGGTGACTTTGAGGTAGTGTTTTGGGTTTGACCTTGTCATGCGGCTACCTTGAAGTTTCAAAGACT